ATAACCCTTTGCCACAAACGAGCTTTATAAAGTTTAATTGATCCATTAACTTTGTGTTTGATCTTATGTACCCATCTGCAGTCAATTAGTTGCTTTCCATGAGGTAGATCAAAAAGAGACCATATAGAGTTTTGTTAAAATGGAAAAAAGTCTTCACGCATGGTTTGTTCCAGCAAGAAAATTTAGCGGCTTGTGAATAACATCTAGGTTTAATGTGAGGGACAATATTCAAGGAAAAATTGGAATAAGATGGTGAGCATCGTTCATAGGAAAGAATAGAGGAAAGTGGATACGGAATATGAGATAAATGAGATGTTGTGTTTGGATTATATGGGGTAGTAACAGTAGCAACTGAAAGGTCATAATGGAAGTCGGCTAAGTAGTGTGGAGTTGATCTGGGTCTAGTAGATTGTCTAGGTGAAGATGATATTAATGGAGTTGTTTTATTCTGAGCTTAAGTGATGGGTGGTGAAGTAGATACGGGAATATAAGCATATGGTACAATGGAAGTCGGGGTGGTATCATATATGGCATTAGTCGGCTGAAGTATAATGGGATGAATGAATGGAGTTTCAATGATTTGAAGGTGATGCAAGAGTTCATTGGAAAAGGGAAATGTTGACTCAAAGAAAATTACACTGCGAGAAACAAAGGTACTACGTAAAAAAAAATCGAATAATAAATATCCCTTGACACTTTCTTTATACCCAAGGAATAATGATTTTCAAGTCTGGGGGAAAACTTTGTAAGTTGGTTAGTTAGAGTGGATGCATAGGATAAACACCCAAAGACCTTTAGGTAAAAGATGAGTTCAAGTTCTCATGGGGTGTCTTGTATAAAAGATCATGGGGTGTCAAAGATGAGTTCAAGTTCTCAAACATTTGTTGCAGTTGTCTACCAAAATGGTAGAAAACTTAAAGTCGTAATTGTCTAACTTTTGAAGGTCAAAAAAAAAAATAGTGCAAATCAAAAGCAACACTGGCTACAATAATGTGAGGAAGAAAATTCATTAAAAATTGGAGCTATAAGACAACAAATATGTTTCTCATTTAGCAGCTAGATATGATGCTCAAAATAGGGATTACTTGGGTACTGATGTTGACGATGAAGATGTGACGTGTATGATTGATGCATTTTTTAGTTAGTCTCAGAGGAGATACATTACGCTATTTGCAGAAATCAACTGTAGCGAGCTTTCTTCATTACTGATTTAGTTAATGAATGTGAATATGAAACCGTATTTTGGTAACGAAGATATATATATATATATATATATGTATCTTAGTCTACACCTCCACCAATTTTAAGTCAGATCATTTTTGGGGAAGAATACGATGAAGATACCTTAAAGATGGATAATAATGATGAGGAAGAAAATGAAGCTTTAATTCTACTTGGTAATTCGTTGGGTACTGACGCGGAGGGAGATTTTGATGTTGATTCATTTCTACATGATGTTTCTCATAGGAATGTGGCTTTCATACTTAAGAGAAAGATAATAGAGTTTTATAATATTTTCACAAATTTCCCCTACTTTTTTCTAAATTATCATGGGAAAAGTGTGTGTCATTTAAAAGGACACACACTTATATCCTTTTAAGAGAGATAAAGGAACAAGTTATGGGGAGAGAAAGTGGAGAGAAAATTTTGTAATTTAAAATTTAAAAAAATACATTTCATTCATCTAAAAGGACCATCCTTTTAAATGATAAACATTAAACCCTTAAGTTAATATTTGTCAAAGTAACTCCATGGATGTAAATGATGGACATAGAAATCTTAAAGGTGTACATAAAGTGATATAGAAAATCTTGATAAAAAAAATCTTATGTCATCTTTGTCTACAATAAAACTTTTTATTACTTTCTTTTCTAAGAGTTAAGTTTCCCGGTTAATAAGTGTTATTCTTCACACCTCAAACTTAAATAACTCTTGCAAGAGAAGATTTGTTAGATAAAAAATCATTTATGTGAGTTCAGCTCATAAGTTTTTTTTTTTAATAGTTACATCATAACATATACGGGACAAGTCCTAAAGACATAATGGTTATGACAACCATCCAAAAATATTTGTATTCATTCCGTTAAGCTTATTGTAACGGATCACCCTTGATCTAGAAGCAAGATAATTGGCTGAGATCCAATTTACTTAGGAGACCCACCATAGCTACATACACCAGCGCTTAGTTAATTTTCCTCCTTACTGAATTTTTTTATTTTCCATCAGGTTGTTGTTATCACAAACTCCATGGGTATATGTAGGGAACGGATTATTAAGAAGATATACATGAGAAAATTGCCAAATCTCTTCTCTCCCTGTATCTCCTTTTCTCTCTCTGTTTTCCCTTCATTCTTCTTCTAATATTCACATCTCTGTCTCTAAAGCTGGTAGCTAATCGCTACACTTATTGATTGCAACGTTTGTTGCCATCCCTTTCAGTCTTTACTTTGAAAAAATGCCACCAAAGTATCAAGGTAAAGAAGACACAAGAAGAGCACCAAAGGGGCAAATAACTGTTTACGTGGGAGAAGAACTCAAACGATATACCTTAATTACTAATATCTTACTTGAAGAACCTCATCTTGCTTCAGCTGACAACACGGTAATTACATATTTGATATTACTCTTGACATTGGTGATCTAATGTGCTTTTATGAAATTAAAAAGATAGCCATTATCTCTCGTTTTGTTGTTGAGAATGTACATATTTCTCACCTTAATTATTCATAATTTCTACAACTCCCTCCAATGATACTCGATTTCGTAGGAAGCGGAAATGATTTATGTTGTAAATCAATACCAAAAACAAATCGCGTTTGTCATGTTATTGTTTCAGCGTGAGTACAAAAACAAAAACATAATACACAAGTGGAAAGATGTTTATTGATAGGATGTGTGAGGGATAAAATAAATACACTATAACACAAGTAGTTAAGTCACATGCTAATTTTTTATGTTGTTAATTATTTAATAACTAATTCACAAGATTAAACATTTAGTGATCTCTGCTTAGTACGCATAAATATTGGATAAAATGTAAAATTGCTATAGCACATTCTGTGTTATGTATTATTTTGTTCACAATAAAGTTGAGAAAATAAATGCACACAACTTATGTGTTTCTCTCTTTTTGTATTATGAATAAAATTTTGTAACATAGTTTAGTGAGTGAAAAAAATTCAGAGTTTTTTGATGTCTTTTAATTTTTTTTATAATACTTATATTATTTAAAACAAAATAGAATTTTTTATTTTATTTTATTTTTAACAAATTAAACAGATCAGAATCTCCTTCCTTGATTAGACTGATAAAGAAAAAACAAAAGGTACGAGTAAAATATATGGACAATACTTTTATTATGTTACATGAGAAAATATTCTTCATGCCACACACCTATAAAAATTTGAGCCTCTATTTTCTTTTCTTTTTAAGTATAGTACATGTTGTGTTTATGGTAAGAAATTATATCTCCTTATCCCAAAATAGTTTAGGACATGTCGCGTATTAAAGCAACACGTGTGTGAACAATGAGCAATCATGCACCCATTAACAAACTCCACAAATTAGTTCCACTGCTCGTAGCCTCGTAGGTACAACTCTATCAGTTTATCACTATCATAAAGCGTTATGTATCCTTCAAACAAAGGTGGATTATATAGCGTTATATTTATGGAAAGTGTCATGTTGTTGCTGCAAAAAAAATATATGTTTGCCACTCTTTTATAATTATGTATTTTGATAAATATATAATTATAGTATTAATTTTTTTTCTTTTTTATCAGATATTATTAGCTAACGTGGAGAGAGAAAACATTACTTTAATATGATAATTATATATTCCTTATAATATATAGTTAGTTATAAAGGATGACAGAAGAAAAAAAATTTCGCAGCAACATGAGAAAAAAAAAGGATCCGAAAATATATGTTATTTGATTATGTCTTTTGAGAAGATTTTAATTATTTATGAACAAATTAAGGGTATTTTTTTATTATTCTTTATCCCAGTATTTTCTCTCTCATCAAATTAAATAACTTATTAAATTACACCTGACAAGGTAGGGACAACATCTTTGTGACTAGCCGCTTCAATTTTCACACCTAGTAACTATGGACATGTTTGGTTGTATTCTCATTTTTTTAAAATAAAAACTATTTTACAAAATAGTTATAAAAACAGATATTTTTAGTGTTTCTTTTTATTTTAAAAATTAAAAGTCAAAACATAAAATAAAAAAAATTCAAATATATTCTTTAAATTTGATTTAAAAAAAACAATTACAATTTAAAAAAAAAATTACAAAACAAATAGAAACAGATTTTTTTTTTGTTCTAGAAACCAAAAAATTATTTTTAAAAACAGTATTTAAACACGGCCTATATTATCATTAAAAAATAATTACATAACGACGCCTCTTTCTTTTTCGGTCTGCAACGACATCAAATGAAAGGCTTTTCTACATGAAGTTCTATTTACAGTAAATAGGCCTAAGAAAAAAAAAATCCCTTTATCGAAGTGATGCTAACTTATACGTTAAAAAATCTCATATTTTTACACCATTGATTATCAACTTATTTAAATCTTGTCAAGATTTTCAAACGAAATTTGTATTCAACCTAATAATTCTACACAATAGTTATCTGTATGGAATATTGTTCATATAATTATTATTCTATAAACTAACAGCAATTATCTTCTCCCTTTTAACTGTTTAACATGTTTGACGAGCTAAGTTATAAAGTAAAAAGGAAATATTAATCACAACAAAAAGGAGAAATGAGGAGGAAAAAAAAATATAAAGTGAGGTTCACACTTGATTTGTAAGTGCATGAAATTTCTCTCATAGAATAATATTTCCCTAACAGTAATTAGCTGAACTAGGACCATTCAGTTCCAAAACACATTATAACTCATTCTATGTTGCAACTTGCAACCAAACAGAATTTTTTCATATATGAAATATATGCACGTATGACTCTCATCCATTACAGAATTATCATTCAATGTTTATGAAGTTCTAATCACATTACACTTACAGATTTTAGAGGAAGTGCATTCGGTTGCTTTCATGTAACGTTCCTAGTGTAGTAAACTTTTGCTCTGATCACCCAACAAGCAGGTATAGAAAGTATCTAACTTGCAGTTTAAGAGTTCAGATGTTGGGTAGGTCCTGCTGCTTACATGTAGAATAATGTAACAAATGCGTACTCAGATAACCCAAGTAGCTAAAGAAATTTTTCATTTTACTTAGTTTATAAGCTAAGATGTTGAGTAGAATGAATCGTAAACATCTAAATAATTAAAAACTCCTGTTCTAAGAAAAACATCTCAGATAATTGGGAGGGCACGTGTGCTAAAATTCATACCTTCCCCCAATAATAATTTGACATCGGATAAATTCCCCATCCAACAATGGGAAAAGAACTAGAAAGACAATAGCCTATAACAAAATTCTTCATGCCATATGTCTCAGTTAATTGGTTCACAAATTGAAAGTCACATGTCCATCTCTGGCATAGTCATCACTGCATTGCCCATCGACAGTACTTTTCTTCATCACATCTCGTCTTCAACTACTTAGACCTGTTTCTTCTTTTCTAAGTTAGATACAGCATGCCGTTGTCGCTTCTTCCAAGCTGGGATCTTGCCCGGGAAGGCCCACCTCAATAGTCTCTCCCATGAATAGCATACCAAAAACATCAGAAATGCCCAAATCAATAATTTATCCCTTAATCCCGTTGGCAGTGGCACCAACTTCAACCAATCATTTAAGCCCCTGAAGAGATCAGATGTAATCACAGTAAAGAAACCAACAGCAGCAACAAGAGCGTACAGGAATGGCTTGTTTTCAGGAATACTCTGGTTGAAGGGATGGCCCATATAGTTCACGGCGAATGTGGCCACCTGAAGCATCATGCTCACCATGTAGGAAACAGTATTCACCAGGTTGGGATGAAAATCTGCATCTGGTTCAATGCATTCATCTGGCATGTATTTCTCAGCTTCTCTCACAGATGAAATCAGAAAAAACAGGTGAACAGAAAATTGTCCCAAGAGGGAAAGGAAGACGTAAGCACAGAAGATGTTGGGGTGGGGACGTTCAGATGAAAGACCGGGAAGAGGGCGTGCATGTGAGATAAAGAGGAAAAATGCAGCAGTGAAGACACCACTTATTGTGGCTTGTACATCACCTAGCTTGACACCATCCAGATACATAACACTCAACACATATGCAGTAGCAAGGCAGTTGAGGCCCAGAATTTTAAACATCTGGAGGGTTGTCACTAGGGTACTCCGGCCTTGACGAATTATGTCAGTGGTGGGAGCAACAGACGCATGCTTTGCAGTGAATGGGGATGCCATTGAGGCATCACCAAGCTTGACAACGGGTGCACGGCCATCTCCTTCCTCATTAAGCTCATCCATCATCTTCTTAAGCTTCTGTCGTTGCATATCGACAGCTGCCTGATGACGGTTAGCAGGTGAGTGGCTGGTGGAATCTGATTTTGAAGCAACTTTCGCTTTTGAAGAGCCTTCTCCAATTGGGCTAACAGTCTTTCCAGATGCTTCCAGGGCAGGCTTAGATTTCTTTGGCTTGACAGATTTTGAACCTTCCCCAGGCGAATCTGAAGAGGAGTTTCCACTTTGAGTTGGAGGCAATGCATTAAGAAGAGCAACTCCTACATGGGCCTAAATCAGAGAAGTTAGCATTGAGTCTTGCAGCCTTTATTCTTGGTAAAAGACACATGCAAGATACTAAACACCAATAAAATAATGCCAATTTATGATGTAAGACTCACAGCTTCACAAGTTAATACCAATGAAAAAAAATACCGGATAAAAATATTTTTAATTGCAAAAATGAAAAATTTACAGGAGACTGACATAACATGGCTATATAATTAAAACTGTCACCGACAGATCATCTTGATGCAATTGGGCCACTATCACTCAGAAAAAGTATTCTCCTTTAGACGTCAGTAAAAAAACTCTACCAGTAAGGTTCCTTAATATGGTGGCTTTTTGGTGTATGGAGGTTGTAATTTGCGAACAGACTAAATTTTTTATTTTCCACTGGCAACTACAAGTGCAATATTCAGGAAAAAATTCTATCGATTATTAGCAACCACACATTACCTGCTTCAAAGCTCCAACATCATTGGTTCCATCCCCACACATCAAAGTCAACCGTCCCACTGTTTTGAAAGTGGTCATGATAAATTCTTTTTGCTCAGGGGCAACTCGAGCAAAAACCTGAGACAAAAATATAACTGTCATTGATGAAGACAGTACCAAAGACCCAGTTACAATGTTTAGTCATTTAGCATAGATCAGAACCTTCACACGAGGAATGACCAGAAGATGAGCTGATGTCTGTTGCAACATCTCAATGCAATCACCTCCAACACAAAGATCATGAGTCTCTGATAAAGATTCAACCTCTTTATCACTGAAACCAATTTTTAGGACAGATCAGTCTAAAAAGTGAAATAAGAAAAATAACAAATGACAGCAGAAACGAGTTTGGAAGCAAACGCGGGCGGGGGACAAAAATGCTTTCTCAGAGAACGTAATAAAAAGAAGAAAAAACTCAAATAAAGAAATCTTACATTCAGCAAATAAAGAACAGGTAATCAGTCACATACACAAGATAATACAACCAGAAAATAAAAATTAAAATAAAACAAAGCAAAACAAAAAGTTAAAACTACCTGTAGCGAATATTTTCAGTCTCATCAGGGGACATCCAATTATATCCTTCACCGTTACTTGCTGGGCCAAGGATTAATGCAGGTTTTGATATAATATGAACTTGGCTAGCAACATGACAAGCTGTCAAAGCTTGGTCACCAGTAATCATCACCTATCAATATAGTCCAGAAAGATGCTGATCAGTTAGTTGTTACTAGTTAAGTACGGATCCCAAAAACTCCCATCCCTGCCCCCACATCCATCCAAAAAAAATGGGTTAGGTAAAGTGGTTAAGAATTAATATACACCAAAAGAATACAAAAGGGTTAGATATTGCTTATCAATCAAATTTTCAGTCTTAAAAAGCAGGAGGCAAGCTACCCAAATATTTGATTGCTAGATAGATAAGTCATTGTATAGCCAGATATTCAATGAGATTTACGGATCAACTCTAATCATCAAACTTCTTAACCACGAATTGGAAGTTCAAATTACTATTATTCTCCAATAGATCACACGACAAAAAATGTAATGATCATTCAAGATGCTTGAACAACAGCAACAATAACCAAGACTTATTCCCCCACTTAAACGGTCAGCTACGATTCACGAATGTCAAATCCTTATTGATAGTGTCCCACCATGTCTTTCTTGATCTCCCTCTACTCCTCATTAGAGGGGCATTATATGTAATTTCACATCTTACAGGGGCTTGTGTAGAACAGTCTAACATTACCAAATCATGAGAGAACAACAGCAGCATTAATAACCAAGACTTATTCCAAATAAAGGGGTCAACTACGATTCATGAATCCCACATATACCAAATCCTTATTAATAGTCTCCCACCATGTCTGTATTGGTCTCTGATGGGCTTAAGATAATTAGTAGTTAATAGGGAGTTATTCTAGAATATTCTCAAATAGTAGGATATAAGGAGGGGAGTGTGGGAGTGTGAGGCTATGCATGAATTCAAAATTGGTTAGTAGGGAAAATCGGGGATCTCTGGGAGTTGAGGTCTCTTGAAATTTATCTTTGGCATTTTATCTTTGTATCAGTGTATGTAAAAAGAGGCTATGCCTCCATTGTTAATGAAATTAGTGATATATTTTTCTGGGTTCCATCAATTTGATATCAGAGAACTTCCGGTCTAGGGTTGCTTCTGGTCCAGATCTAGAAAAAAAATGGAGAACAAAACCAACAGATATCTTGAAGCATTGGAGAAGGCCAGCACGAAGGATGTCATGGAATTGATGGGAAGATGATAAGGATCATGGATGCTTGGGAAGAAAAGCGAGAAACTCTAATGAAAGAAGAAGCAAAACACGAACAGAAAATTGAAAAAGAAGAAATTAAAGAAGAAGAAAGAGAGAAGGAAGATGTAGCAGGATCAAAGAACAGAAAAGAAGGGGAAAAAAAAGTGCAAAGAATGTAGAAGAAGAAGCTGAACAAAAAGAAACAAAGGAAATAAAAGCTGAAGAAGCAAACAACGAAGACACGGATCAGAAAATAGAAGAAGATGACAACAGTGCAGAAGAAGAAAAAGAAATTGATGAAGAAGAAGCTGATGAAGACATGGTACAAGCTGCATTTCCGACGGGGCTGAAAGAAGAAATTCATGCAGAAATCAAAGTCCATTGTTCAGATAATTTAGAGCAGATGATGCGTCTGGAGCAGAGGGTTGAGGAGAAGGGGAGGACAAAAAAGAACGAACAGAGATTAAAGAAGAACAAGAAAAGAACCTGGTGCAGAAGCAAACAGAGATAGAAAGACATGCAAAAGAGGATCGAAAATCAGAAGCAAAAGAAAAAGAAATTGAAGCTACGGAAGAAATCGAAGAAGAATCAGAGGAAAAAGGAAAAGAAAAAGAAGAAGATCAAGAGCAATTTAGTTATATGTAATTTAACATCTTTTTTTTTGTAATAATAATTTAACATCTTACAGGGGCTTGTAGAACAGTCTAACATTACCAAATCATGAGAGAACAACAGCAGCATTAATAACCAAGACTTATTCCAAACAAAGGGGTCAACTACGATTCATGAATCCCACATATGCCAAATCCTTATTAATAGTCCCCCACCATGTCTTTATTGGTCTCCCTCTACCCGTCATTAAAGGAGCATCATCTGTAATACCACATCATACTGAAGCCTCTGTAGGAACAGTCTGGCATTACCAAATCATCTTTAAACATTTTTCCATCATTTTTACTATAAGAGCCACTCCAATCAAGGTAGTCAACATCAAGATCCTACCCAGGATCGGGAGTTAAACATGTGAAACATGAGATTGTAACACGGATCATAAGATCCTACTAAAATATAAAATTATATTCACACACACACGTATACATATTAAACAACATAGATAAGCATAATAACTTAAACCCTACAACTAGCTTATTAAACTCTAAATACAAATGCACAAGGCCACAAGCCACAACTTAAGTTAAAGGTACAATCTATATACGTGACACGATACCGTAGGATACTCCGACACGTTAATTCTAAAAAAATTTAGATTTTGACATGTTGGAACACGTTTTAATATTAAATAATATTTTTAATATATATAGTGTATATCATACTTATTAATCTCAGATAGCGGAGTGTAGCGCCTGACCCTCCAAACTGCTATAGCGCTATAGCCGGTAGCACTACAACGCTACTGTGGCAAAGTGTACCTAAGTGATACATTAAATTGTACTCCACAAATATAAAACTTGAAATATGAAAATGTTACATAAAAAACAAATTTGAAGGATCTCAAACTCAAACATAAATGATTTCAAACATTAAAATTCAAATCATAAACAAATTGAAGGAAATAAAGTCTCAAATAATGTAACACAACAAAATAAAGTGGCAAAAATAGTCAAAATTCAAACTGCCACTTAAGTGAAATGTCAAAATCAAAGAACTTAAGGAACTAATTATAATTGAAATCATGAACATCCAAATCTTCATTTTCACTTTCACTTGTATCTAAGTTGTAAATCTCTTCCTTCTACAATGAGAACACTTTTGCAGAAACTTGTGCCGCGATTCAGCCGCAATAGCGGCAGCTACATCCGCTACACTTCGCCTGACTGTCGCGGCGCGGCCTGTGGCAGCCGGCAGCCGGCCGCTGCACCGCAACGCAACTCCGCTAAAGCGGGGCTATTCACAAGTATGGTGTATACTACATTTCATATTCAATAACTTACCAAAAAAAACGAAACAAAACTAATAATATCCATCAATTTAACCAAAAAAGATTCAAAGAAAAAAAATTATTTCCATAATTCCATTACATTGATTTAAAGCAAAAATAATAGAATATCCATAGAAAACCATAAATTATTAGACTACATTTATGGATCATTTTAATCTAGAATAACACTTTTTTAAGTTTTTATTAAATGCATTTTAGTTTTTCCAAAATTATAATTTTATTAATGTGTTTTAATTTTTTTAAAATTGTAATTTTATAACTAAAATGCCCTTGACCGTGCCGGACACGTTCAAATTTGCATGTTGGAAATGTTGACCACGTGTCGAGAGTGTGTCGGAGAGTCCGACACTGACACTCCAGGTTTTTTCAAGCGTTCGTGCTTCACAGGATACAATTCATAATATAAGACATTTTTTACAACAAAGCTATAACACTAACAAGAACAACTACTAAATATCTGGATATTACCATAGCATAATCAGACACACAAAACAGAGCCTAGAAACTATTAGAGCAAAAAACAAAACAGAGCACACAAGCAAATAACAAATCAGCAAGCAGCCAAGCACCACCCCAACCGGGAGGAGATGCAGATCAAAGCACAAACAAGTAGCAAGGAAGAGGTCAAACCACCAGCAGCCTATCTCTCAACCCGAACCACCACCCGCCCTCTCTTTCTCGACGGTCCCACACAAGCCACGTCCCCCACAAGCCACAACCGCTAGCAGCCACTGTTCAAAGCCCAAGGAGTGTGAACAGGTAGCAGGAAAGGGTTTACAGAAGGTTTTGTAGGGTTTGACGTTCTAAGATTTTGGGTGGGCTTGGGTTTTATTTTTCAGAAATGGATGATATAGATGACTAGGCCAGCATGATGGGATCATCCAACCCCTCCAGTCTCACAATCAATCATGGTTATAGCAGACGATCTCGCCGAAACGTGTTTTTGAGGATGATCATGATAAGAGCAGCAAGAAAAAATCGTGGAGGCATAAGATTCTATGATCTAACACAATTTTGACTGCCTTGACTCCAACCTTCTCCCTTATGATCTTATTCCTAACCTTATGATTCCTATCCATCCTGTATGCCCACGCATTGTGAAATACTCATTTCTATGACATTCAGCTTTCGTTCATGCTAACCAAGCCCCACAAAGAAAAGTTGACCTCATGGATTCTATATGCCATTGTGCTCAGCTCCAAAGTGCTTGAACATATAAATATTAATCAAAAACACTTCTATTACAGTGAAACAAAATAGTGAATTAAAAAAATAAAAATAAAAAAAATAAACAAAACCTTATAAAATTCAGCTCCTGAAAGTAGAACAAAAGACGCTGTTTTCAATTCATTTCCCCCTAGAGACTGGAGTTTTTAACTCTTCCAAGAGAAATTCTCTCACAACAAAAAGTACTCTCGTTTTTGCAAGAGAAGCTAATTCAAATGCCACACTTACCAAGTCATGTGAAGATCCTTTCAATTCAGATAAGACAGTGGCTGAATCTGTTCTTATGGGACAATTAAATACCTGAAAATAACAATACCAACTTTCAACATTAAATCAATGGAGGGAAATTATTTTGAATTGAGATTGTATGAGGAAGAAGATGTTTGATTACCACAAAACCAGCAAAAGTAAGCCCATTCTCCACCATATCCCTATCCAAGCTTCTAGCTTCACTGACCTTCAAGCATTTAACAGATTATATGCAACAGCTCAAACATGCAAATGTTGAAAGTAATTAATGATGTAACAAATGATAGGGGAGGAAGTAAACCAAGCATTTGTCAGGAGTGAAGAGGAAAAATAAATAAATAAATAGATAAACAAAGTCCTCAATTCCACTTAGGATACAAATTGATTGAAATCATACAAAAGGGAAATTTAACTTGATATGTCAAAAGAACTACACTAAAAAAGTGTCATTAGAAATGAAAGCCAAAATAGAAACACATTAAAAATGTTTTCCAGTGAACAAAGTTTATCCACTTTGAATAATTTAAATAACTCAAATGACAAGGCAGAAAACTTCAATGATCATTTTTGTTCCCCCCATGTAATTGAATATATGGTGGATTAAAGGGTCATGAAACAGAATGTAAAACCCAAAATATTCTTACTGTCATGTCAGAAAGAGACTTGTAAGCCAGAGCAAGAACACGAGACCCCTGACGTGTATATTTTTTGTAGTTTTCAACATATGATGGGGGTATATCAATGAGCCTCTCTTGAATAATTTCTGGGGCACCCTGAAATAAGAGGTCATAAAGAATTGCTAAGAGGGATTAAATAAAGGAAAATACCATGGTAACTCTCAAGTTACTATGTTTTGAAGTTTTTTAAAACATAAAAGATGCATGTATGTTAACGTCCACTGCTGCTCAACAAAGTAATAGAGAATACGAGAAAAAAAATAAAGAAGAATTCAAGAAGTCAGAATCTAAAAGATTTGGGCATTTAAGGTAGCACTGAAACCAGTCCACTCACAGACATTTAATTGCAGAACGTCATATTTATAAATGCTCTCGGAAAATGAAAAAAGTGTATTGGTCAGTCAACATCAACAGAACCAACTGCCAATCCAAGTACCCCAAAACAAATGTAAACAAAAAATAGCAATATGACAAGAATTATTGTTTGCAAATTTTAGAAATAAAACTTTGTTTTCATTTTATTCTATTGAAGCAAATTCTATGGACTTTTATCAGTCTTTTTTTCTAATTCGTATTTGTATCCTGATACATTTAAAAAAAGATTAACAAATAGAGAGGCAGCCATCTATACTAAATAAAGATAATAAAATTACATAAATTATACTATGTAAATTGTTTATAATATATACATATACATATAGAGGGAGTAAGAGAGTGAGAGTGGAAGAAGAGCTAATCTTGACCAGCCATGTATGGTTGTATAGTCAAGCTTAGCTCCTCACACACACACACCCCAATGGGTACATATCATCCTATCCTAGAAGCATGTAAAATAAGAAAGAAAAAACAAGCAGAAGAGTGAACACGGAAAGTTAAATGGAAAAGCTCTTGAAGAACTCAGATGGTGTGCAACACATTCTAATAAAAAAACAATCAGCTTTCCAAAGGTCATTGGTAATGACAAAAAAAAAAAAGTTAACAACATGAAATATATTAGTGTCATATTCTTCAATGATTAGTTAATCCACATGACTATTTTACACAGTCTATCTTCCTTACTCGCCAACTAGGACGTGAATTATAGACCATTCCATATCCCTCCAAAAAATAAAAGCTACTACAGAATGTTATACTTTGGCAGCCTAAATCCCTAGGTCATAGTTTTATTAAACTACAGGTCAAAGTATAGGATACCCAAAAAATAAGGTGCGCAACTTAAGCTTATAAAGAAGCAGCTTAAATCAGGATGGACCTGAGTGGGTAACATGCATGCATCCAAAATTGCATATTTATAAACAGGACACTGAGCAACCAACAAACCTTCACAAAGGCAAAAAATTCCTCCTGAATGCGCACAACAACTGCCATTCGTTTTAAGTGAGATGCAAAATGGTACCGCTGAACAATTTGGACGGGATTGCCATTTCCCCTGAAATTTGATAACAAATCAGGATAAAACAAAGATGACATAGAAAGAACTGTTAAAAAGTACAAAAGAGAGGGACATCATAATCAAGAACGAAGCATTCAAACCACGAACATCATAGACAATATATGTAATAACACATCTGCAGACGTCGCATATTCTTTGCTTTCTTAATCACTATATTTCCTTGTTCTAGCAACAGGAATAATGAAATGTAAACCGATTTATTGAACATGATTGGCAACAACCAAATTAAATGAGCCCAATTGCCCAAACGCCAAAAATTTCCATGTAAAATAAAATCTCCATCTCACATGGATTAAAAAGACAATCAACTTGTTAGCTGAATCAATGGATTTATAACTCCTCATCAGATTTAGATTTACTTACTTTTTTGGAACAGCCTTCTCATCAGATTTATAACTCCAATCTATTCCCTTAAGTGCAGCCTTCTCAAGAGGATCACCAACCTGTGGGATATTAAGGAAATTATAAGATATAGTATCAACAAATAATAGCACAGATAAAGGGGGAAACATAAAAAAGCAAGAATCATGAAGACCTATTGCTCAAGCTTGATAGTTATCTAGCAGAAAACAAGAAAAATATTTGTAACCTGGGAAACTTAGGACTTGAAGTGACAAAGAATTGTGGAAACAAGGTAAGAAATGATTGCTTTCCAAAAGTCTAGAGATAGGAAAAGTTTTATTTTGATTCCCTGAAAAGATGGCTACTACCATCTACAAAATTGATTTAGCATGACATCCAAAGTAAAGAAACTTCTAATAGTGGATCAATCAATCAAATAAAAAGGAAAACTTGATAACACAGGGCACAAACTTGACTTTCAGGAACTGTTCCTAAAAGTGCTTAACGGGTAATGCAAGTAATGAAGCATTCCCATATTATTTCCGATGCAACAATTGCGACACCATCCCACTACCACCACCCCCAAAAAAAAAAAAAAAAAATCAAATGCAGGGGCATGGGTGTCATACTTCCTTCCTTACAAGACGTGATTAAACTCAATCTTAAAGCAATGGAGTGATTTAAGACTCATTTAAGTTTCCTTTAAAAAAATATACATTACATAAACTATAAAATTGAAGAAAAATGCATTAGGAGGGGGGGAGGGGGGGGGGGGGGGGGGTAAAATAAGGTTTAAAGAAAAATATTGAACTGTGACGTGCTACTTCATTCTATTCAACATTATAACAAAGTCTAAAAACTAAGACTGAATTTAACCACCTACAGAGAGAGGAGAGGCATACCAGCTTATTCTCAACAAATACCAATGCATGGCAAGAAGCCAGGATTTCTACTGTTCGCACAGGCACTTTGCTCATATCAGATTCTAAATCTGTAGTTCCTGTCAACCCAACAACTCCAGAAAACTCCTGTAAAGTGGGAATAAAAAGTTATAGCACAAAATATGGTCTAAAATGATAAATAAATATTGTGATCTGATATGGGCATACCATGTCATCAGATGTAAGTGTCCCAGTCTTGTCAAAACAACATATATCAACCTATAGGGCAAGGAATGTACAGGAAGTTCAATAAACACCAATGTCAATATATGATCTATATCTAACAAAGTAAAGGACGCACAAGAGCAGAAACATAGTAGTAGGCCTCCAGGTACCTTCCCAGCAAATGGTATTCGAAAAGGTTCTGTGCAAAAAATTCCACGTCGTGCCAGTGCAATCAGAGAAGTATTAACAGCTATCGATAATTCCATTGGTAACTCGGGAGGTATCACAGAGGTAACAATAAGTGAACAACTTAGTATAAGTTTATACTTGCTCCTCAAGGGATCTTCTAGCCCCTGCGGCATTACAATTTACCAAGTCATATCACAACTTACCATTAAGACCAAGCCATATCAATATTTACTATTCATCTGTAGGGAAGCATTACCTTAATGAGCACATAACCAGCAGCAATCAGAGCAAATACAACCAAGAATAAAATGAACAATCCACTTTCCCAGCTATTAGCAGTCACCTATAATATGTCAATTTAGAAAGCAGAAATAGAAAAACAATTTCATCAAAATGACAATGAAATTGCATACTAGGGCTTAACGAGGTTTATATCAATTTACCCTTTCTGTAGAGAATAAGATTGTCCGCATCAACTTCCCTTGACTTGTCTCAAACCCCGTTCTCAGGACAACAGCCAAGCAGCCACCATCAGGTGTTTTCAGAGGAAAGGTCTGGCTCCAACAAGATTGTTAAAAGGGATGAGAACCATGAACAACAGCTCAACATTTAATGAAAATACATAATTTCTCAGCCTGAAATAACCTTGTCTGGAGTGTGCTGCAATATTTTAGTTCCACCAAATAAAACATGGCTTTTGTCTCGCCTGGCAGACAACTTCTCCTCAACCCCCCTACCCGCAATTGAAACCTAAAATGATGGTCAAATCTAAATGAGAATCATTAAGAGAACATCATGACATAAAAAAGCTCTTGCACCCATAGGCTTATGATATGCATTTAGATGTAGCAGCCAACCGTGAGAAAGGTAAAAGATGTCCTATTCAAACCTTGTTTATTTTTCATGGGAAAGGGGGGCCAAGGACAATAATGAACTCACACGATCCGATACATAATTACATACACAAGTAAACATGACAAGTAAACATGGACATGCACAGCAATTTAAATTTTTTGGAAAGAACAAACTGACATCAATATTAAATGTTTTATGTAAATCATAAAGTAAATAGAATCATCATTACAATAGGGGCATATGGTAAAATAAAGACAGACAGGAGGCAAAACAAAGTGTAACACAATTATATCTCAGCGATGGGAAAAGGACAAACCAAATATTAAGCAAAATGTTACATCATATCAGTAATATCTGTCTAAAAAAGTTGCCCAGCTTTCCTGGGTAAAAAACAATATCCTTAGGGGGCGTTTGGTATGAGAGATATTTTTTTTACTGAGAAAAAAAGATTGTTAGGGATTTGGAGCCTGTTTGGATCCTCTTATTTTTAAGCTAGAAGCTACTTATAAGCGAAAGCTAAAAAAAAGAGCTTAAAAAAAGAAGCTAAAAGCTGTTTGGAAATTACATGAAAATTTTAGCTTAAAATTTACTTAAAAGCACATATTTCAAGAAAATTATCTCTCTCTCTATCTTTATCACTTTTCATTTAAAAAAAAGCACACAATTCAAGAAAAACAGATAAGAGCTTAAAAAAAAGCTCCTCCAAGGAGCTTTAAATTTTCAGCTTTTTTCTTCATTATAGAAAAAAGAGCTTTTCATTATAAGAGCTTTTCCCAAAACCTGTTTGGCCTAACTTATGCTTATAAGTAGCTTCTAGCTTAAAAAAAAGAGGATCCAAACAGGCACTTGGTAAGAATTTTTTTATCCCGGGTAAGTTACAAAAAAGTGTTTGGTTAGCCAAAATTTTGCAGGGAAAGTTGGGTTAATTTTACTGATGCTATGTTTGATTGATGGTAAAATATTGATGGGAATGTGAATGAAATTATCAAAATACCCTTAATTTTTTGAATATGCCAAGTGAGTCATCATCAAATGTTGCTTTTTTTGGGGAAAAGTGAATCAAATGTTACTTTTTGAGAATCCAAGACCAAGGAAAAAAAAATACCAAAGGTAAGTGGGAAAAAAATCCTCCTTTGTGTAGTTCAAAAGGAAAATACTGGGTAAAAAAATTTGCTGGCATTTTGTTCACAATACTCATACCAAACATGGTAAATAAATATTCTCCACCCCGCTTTACCATCATTCTATACCAAATACTCATACCAAACACCCCCTTAGATTTAGACATTCAAGACATGTAACCAGCATAGAAGTGATAGCCAAAAACTCAACAAGCAACTACTACCAACAATGCTCAAACCAGCAAACAAATAGTGGCGTAAGTTTGGCAATCAGACAAGGAATCATCTATTCAAAGTTAAGAAAAATATAATCTGCTCCCTGACAGAAGTAATTTTACCTTTTAAGTATCATATATCTATTAGTGATTAGACAAGTACATTAGGGAGTATTTCGGAAAAGAGAAACACCTTCCATTGAGGAGTAGACTCGCCTGTGAGAATAGCTTCATTCACAATCACACTTCCAGCCAATATAAGCATGTCTGCAGGTACAGACTTCTCCTCTCCATTCTGACCAGAAGAGCGACCAATAGAGACAACATCCCCAGGCAAAAGGTCTGTACCAGAGAGTTTTACCCACCTATAATCCACATAATATACAAGCAAGCATCAACATTTTACTCCAATAAACCCAAATATGATCTTATTAACAATTGAGATAACATACTTGCCACAGCGATGTACCATTAGGATCTGGCTATCCACTCTAACACGTCTTAACTCAGTTAGAGTCTTCAACCGACTTTTTGCCATGGTTGACTCAAACATGAACAGCATAAATAGAGTGAACAAGCTATAATACCAGTATTCATCCAAACACCAGAGACCCACACAGAAAACCTGATCATAATATAAGCAAGAACCAGGTAATAGTTAGCAAGAAGATTGAAGACAAAAAAGAGGAAAAGAACATTAAAGAAATAATACCTGAAATACAAAAAATGGCTCCATACAGTGCTCTTTCATCAATTTCTGAAATGTTGGCTGAGGATAATCAAATCTAGAAGATCAACCAGCAGAAACATTAGAGAGAAAACTAATACAGCATAATGCTCAGAGATCAAATGAGAAGACACATAACTCCTTGACAACAAGGGAAGGAATCAACAATCACCAATAATACCAAAGTAGGTAAACTGCATATAAGATGTGTCTAATTCATAAATATTGATGTATGTAAACAACAAATTCAACCCAAAAGCTTAAACTGTTAGGTTAATGCACATTAATGGTTTTATATTTTATATTGTATTTCTCTAACACGCCCCCTCACAGAAGAGCTCATTGGACTTGAAGAATGGACAATACAAGATCCATTTACATGTGCTAAGAAAATCCACAATATTTAATTATTTATTAATAGAATAAGGGGCAATGAGGATCGAAATCTAGACCACTTGATCATAGACTCTAATATCTTGTAAAGAACCAATTCAATTCAAAGTTTAAGCACATTAATGGTTTTATATATTATGTCTTTAACACACTCATTTTTTGGTTTACAAGGGACTGAGGAGAGGATCAAACTCAAAACCACATGGTCACAAATGCTTTGATACCATATTAAGTGTCAATTCAACCCAAAAGTTTAAACTATTAGGTGAAGACACATTAATGGTTTTATATTTTATATTATATTTCTCTAACAATGCATAAGCATACAATTCCAACCACAAAAACATATCTATACTGGCAATACAAAAACTTGTGCTCTGAACGGCAGTAGATGCATATAAAAAATATAAAATATAAAAAGGTCAAAGAAATAGGAAACCCACACATTCCGCCCCCATTTCTCAGTAGCAGCAAAAACTTTGGCTTCAGAGCCATGTCCACTACTCTTGAGATAATATCCAAATGTTTCCTTTGTAGGGTATGAAAGTTTGCAAAAAGTCCCCTTCTCCTTTGAATAGACAAAACATTGTTTTCTAAAATCAAAGTAAATCTCTTCCAAATCCGCCGCTGATGAAGAACTTGCAGACTGCACACAAGTACACAAACATGGTAAACAACCGTGCAATAGCTTTCAAAAGAGGAAGAAAGAGAAAGAAATTTGCTCAACAAAACATAAACTGTAAAACCAGGAATCAACAATGTAAACAAAGAGGTAGCTGGATTCAAAAAATGCACGGTTCAAAATTAGTAAGCAGAGCTACCATGCAGCAAGCAGGTGAACAGTATCAAGCAAAAAGATACAATGAACATTACATATTCACAGTGCACTTTACTTTACATCTATTTTGAAAATATCGGAGTAATGCATTAGAGTTGAGCAAAATAAGTATTAATGAATAAGAATATGAGATCTAAACTGTTATGAACCCAGAAATACGAGTGGAGGAAATGTATGGAAGATAGAAAGAAAAAAGAAACAATTCTTATTGATGACTGCAACACAAACACATAAGGAGACAATTCTACCCCCAAGGATTTGCCCTTCACAAAGAGTTTCCTCTTTCACAATTCTCACATCTAAATTCTCGAATGCCTATCTTCGATACTATTTATGCTATATATCCACCTAACAACCTACTTCTCATCCTAATTACTAACTGCCTCCGTAACTTCCAAACCTGTCATCCTGACTTCCCTAAATAACCTGAGCTTCTCTTAATTCTCTCTAGTATACACTCCAATCTCTTCCCCCAATACTGAGTCTCATCCCTAACAAAAACGTACATTTCAAACATAAAACTAAGCAAAGATTATTCATATAAGACATGTCTGCTTTTCTTTCCCAGCCTGAAAAGCTATCCTCCTAAAAAACCACGAAAATGCAAAAACCAGAATAAACAAGAACAAACACATGAAGTTAGTGAAGCTGCCAATCTTCCCATATACCAAATTCAATAAAGAAACTCTTCTAAAATAGCTGCTATCTTAGAATCATAAAGAATCTAAGAATATCACTTAATCCAATAAAAAAGGTAGCAACAAAAAAAAAATATCCTTGAAAATTCTGGCTTTCCTCTTCAAACCATGAGCACCCAGTCTATGCATACATAATACATTGCATACTGCCAAAGAACCTTGTCTTATTTAATCCTCTCAAAACCTCGAAAATGTCAGATGAAGAGTGCTCCAATATCTCTGGACAAATACAAATTGTCGCGCACAAAAACTCCACCACTCATTCCCCCTCCAAATCAGAGAAAAACAGATAACCAAGGAGCTAGGTGAGACACCTCACTAGCATTTTCTACAAAATAATATTGTATGACTGATAAAACCAAGGAAATAATTCAATCTGCATATATATATACATACCATACTTAGTGCCTGTTTGGATCCTCTCTTTTTTAAGCTAGAAGCTACTTATAAGTATAAACTAGGCCAAACAGGTTTTGGGAAAAGCTCTTATAATGAAAAGCTCTTTTTTTTATAATGAAAAAAAAAGCTGAAAACTAAAATCTCCTAGGAGGAGCTTTTTTTAAGCTCTTATACGTTTTTCTTGAATTGTGTGCTTTTTTTTAAAACGAAGAGGTATAAAGATAGAGAGAGGTAATTTCTTGAAACATGTGCTTTTAAGTAATTTTCAAGCTAAATTTTTTATGTAATTACCAAACAGCTTTAGCTTCTTTTTTTAAGTTCTTTTTTTAGCTGTAGTTTATAAGTAGCTTCTAGCTTAAAAATAAGAGGATCCAAACAGGCTCTTATTAATGTCAGATAGCGGCGCGTAGCGCCTGACCCTCCAAACTGCTATAGCGCTATAGCGGGTAGCGCTACAACGCTACTGTGCAAAGTGTACCTAGGTGATACATTAAATTGTACTCCACAAATATAAAACTTAAAATATGAAAATGTGACATAAAAACAAATTTGAAGGATCTCAAACTCAAACTCAAACATAAATGATTTCAAACATTAAAATTCAAATCATAAGCAAATTGAAGGAATTAAAGTCCCAAATAATGTAAAACAACAAAATAAAATGGCAAAAATAGTCAAAATTCAAACTGCCACTTAAGTGAAATGTCAAAATCAAAGAACTTAAGGAACTAATCATATTTGACATCATGAACATCCAAATCTTCATCTTCACTTTCACTTGTATCTAAGTTGTAAATCTCTTCCTTCTACGACAAGAACACTTTTGCAGAAACTTGTGCCATGATTCAGCCGCAATAGCGACCGCTACATCCTCTACACTTCGCCTGACCGTCGCGGCGCGATATGTGGCAGCCGGTCACTGCACCGCAACACAACTCCGCTATAGCGCGCTAAAGCGGGGCTATTCACAAGTATGATACATACACACACACTACTATCCAAATTCCGAAGTCCATTATTTTGTAGCCATTGATACATATCCCCAAATAAAGTAACCATAAAAAAAATCAAGATGAATTAAGAGGAACAAAAATAGACACTCCACTCCAACAAAAGAAATAAACCCCATGAATTTAAAGGTCACAATTTAACAACATCTTTTGAATTACACAATGCGCTTGCGTTCATAAAAGGTTCATAAATTGTCAATTTAGAACATTCACACTTTCTTTTAAATTCACTCTCTTCAAACTTGTGTCATATATCATCAAGATTCAAGATACATACGTCCATGTAAAAGGAAGGATTAGTAACCCAAAAACACTTTTACACTTCCTTCCAATTTTCATTCTATTGAGCTGTAAACATCTAATAGTTTTATCTAGTTCTTTTCATGCATAAATTGAACATCACTGAAAATTCAATACAGTTTTCTCCTCTGAAATCCTGTCATATACTTACTATTTTCCGAAAACGAAGCGGCACGACTTCTTTAGAACCTGAAAACTTAGCCGGAGTTATCTTGCAAGAATCGGCTTGCTGAATATTCTTAGCCTGCACGCAAACCCACCAAATCAAAGCTTCTAAAAATTCCACTCAAACTACCAAGCAACCGCCATAAAATGCAGATAAAATTAATTAAATAAATAAATACCTTGCTATAATGTGCAAAACACTTGAAATCAATGGACCAACCCGTGAAGAGCCAAACGAGGATGTGAAGAGCAACGAGCGCACCCAAAACAATTGCAGCATCAACGAAGTCCAAGCTGGGAAGAATCACCGATACCCACGCGCCGTATATAATAGCGAAAGGCCAAACGTCCACGCGCCACGGCAATTGCTTCTTCCTCAGCAAATCAACTCTGTCCACCACCTTCCCACCAACGTGAAAACTTGACATTTCGGCTTTGGCTTCGGCTGATAATAGTGAAATCGTTGATCAATAAGAGAACGGAAGCATAAGAATTAGGGTTTTGGATCTGAGATCTGATGAAAATGTTTGTTACCTTTAGATGTTGATGAGAGCGGCTGAGTTGAACACCTCGCCACTCGCAACGATTCGGTGTCTTTCGTCTGCGACGATTCCCAACTTGTTGATTGCTGCAATTTTGCACACTCTCTACTCTTTACCCTCCTAATTACTTCCCCATTTAGCTTTAAAATAATCTTTATCATCCCCTTAAGTATAAAAATAGTTTGGATCAAATATTCAATTTATTTTTTTATTTATTCGACTTCTTTTATGTTTTTGTTTTATTTTTTTTTAATTGGATTTGATGTTTGTCATTTTAAATGACATAAGTTATGTTATCTTAAAAAGAGATAGACACAAGAAATAGAAATCATGAGGGTGAAAGTGGGTGGTTTTTTTAATTTAAATTTTAAATAAAAATATATTATTTTGTGTCTATCTCTCTTAAAATGATATAACTTTATGTCATTTAAAATGACAATATTTTTCCTTTTTTTAATTTTAATTAGATTGATTTGGTTTTGAACTCTTTTATAATAATAAAAAAGAAGAAGCAAAATCTATTGTGTTAGGGGTTTGCATTTGTCATTTAACATGACACAACAAACTTTTCTGCACACACAACATTTTGTGGGGCCACACTTTTTGAAGAAAAAGAAAGAAAATTACGGCACGCAAAACGAATCTCTATAACATTACACAATCACTTTTCCTACAACATAACTCTTATAAAACCTATTGTGTTATTCAGGTACACTTATGTTATATTTTCCATAATTATACTAAAAGAAAAATTATTTATCCTTTTAAAGGATATAATTTTGTGTCATTTTAGATTTTAATCGTTGATTTCCGTCAATCAACAAGTAGGATTTATTGGGTCAAACTTATTAATTAATTAGTAATTCGCAATAAAATCCAATAAATCCTAACATTTGATTGACGGAAATCATCGGTTAGGATCTAAAATGACACAAAGTTATATCATTTAAAAGGATCAATATTTTTCTCTTATACTAATTCTCAAAGAGATTTTTTTATACATTTTATTACCCATTTCAGCCCCTCAAAACATTATATGTCCCATAATTATACAACCATGAAAGTTCACCCAAGTTATTTAACTTGGGGGACATATTGGATTGAAATTTTAATAGATTGTTTTTTATCAAAAAAATTCAAATTCATTGTTATTCAATTAGGATTTTTAAGTATTGAAAAAAAAAATCACATGGTATTTGATTAAGAATTTAAAAGATTATTTTAAAGTCCTTCAAATCCGGTGGTATTCAATCAGGATTTTAAATAAATATAAATGGTGTAGGGCTACTTATGCATGTGATACACATAAAAATGGCGCAACTAATTTGAAACATCATTTGTTGGCTCAATGTAAAAAGTTTCCAAGAGATTCAAACGATTCTAGTCAATCAATTCATAGTCTCCAACAATTTAAAAAAGAAGATGGGAAATGAATTGGTAAAGCTTTTGTTGGTGTATCCTTTGGTGTTGAAGATTGTAGGCAAGCTCTTGCTAGAATGATTATTGTTGATGAGTTGTCATTTAAGTTTGTAGAGGGGGAGGGATTCCGACATTTTGTAAGTGTTGTGCAACCTAAGTTGGATATTCTTGGAAGGATTACTGTTGCTAGAGATTGTTGGAATCTCTATTTAAACGAGAAGAAAAAATTGTAATCTATTTTTAGTGTTCCGAGTCAAAGTGTGTGTCTTACAACTGATTGCTGGAGTTCTGTGCAAAATCTCAATTATTTGTGTCTTACTGCTCATTTCATTGATAATGATTGGAAATTGCATAAAAGAATATTGAATTTTTGTTTGATCAAGAATCATAAGGGTGAGACTATTGGAAGAAAAATTGAGAAATGTCTTCTAGGTTGGGGAATTTCAAAAGTTTTCAATATTACTGTTGACAAAGTGAGCTCAAATGATCTTATTATTGCTTACTTGAAAGCTAGAATGGAGGATTGGAATGCACATTCGTTGAAAGGTGAATATTTGCATGTCAGATGTTGTGCTCATATTTTAAATCTTGTTGTCAATGATGGATTGAAAGAGTTGCATGCTTCAATTACTAAAATAAGAAATGTTGTTAGATGTGTGCGTGCTTCCCCTAGTCATATGGATAGATTCAAGACTTGTATAAAAGATTGTAGGATACAAGAGGGTGGCATAGTGCAATTAAATGTTCTTACTAGATGAAACTCTACTTATATTATGCTTGAAAGTGCATTAAAGTTTCAAAAGGCATTTAAAAGGTTAGGAGAGTGTGTTGCTGAATATGCAATGATGCAAGGTGGAATTCCAAATATTGAGAATTGGGATAATGCACGAGTGTTTGTGAGATTTTTGAAAAATTTTCACGATGTCACTGAAAAAGTGTTTGGTTCTTTATATGTGACTTCTTAATATTTTCATGAGTTTTACATGATATTGAATAACTTAAAGACATGGAGTAGGAGTATGGATCTATTACTTGGGCCCATGGCTAAAAAAATGAAAGCTAAGCATGACAAATATTGGGGAAACATTAGAAATATCAACATGATGATTTTTATTGATGTGATACTTGATCCCCCATATAAATTACGATTTGTGGAATGGAGTTTTGAGAAGCTTTATGAAAGGGAGGATGCATAATTTTTAAGTGTTAAGAGTTAAGGAGACTTTAAACAAGATGTTTCACAGTTATAAAGATTTTCATGGAAATAATCTTTCTCGATTGTCCACCAAAGATCATCATGAGGTAGAAGACTCTGATTTGGCAGCATTTGATAACTCTTCATTTGCTAGTGAATTTGAGAGGGACATAACTGTGAGTGAGAGCTTGAATAAAAATGAGGTGGACCTGTATCTCATGGAACCACTAGAGAAAGGAACTAAAAAATTTGATATCTTGAATTGGTGGAAGGTGAATTCTAGCAAATATCCTACTCTTGGTCTAGTAGCTAAAGATGTATTGGCTATGCCAGTATCTACAGTTTCTTCAGAATCTGCTTTCAGCATTAGGGGTAGAGTTCTTAGAGCTCGTTTGGTGCACAGGATAGGATAAGGGTAGGATATGATATGGGGTTGATAAGGGTAGGATATGATATAAAGCTGATAAGCCTATATCATATCTTATGTTTGATGAGCACCTGATTAACAATCTAATAAGATTATGTAGAAGGAGAAAGGAGAAAGAAAAAACAAAATATAATGCAATAAATACAAATATATTGGGTAGCGTGAGAATATATTGGGTAGCGTGGGAATATATTGGATAGCGTCAGCATATATTGGGTATCCAATATTGGTATCCTATCCTGTTGAATCCTAACTCAGCTCTCCCTATAGGATAAGAAATCATCACTGATTCTCTGGAGGCACTCAAGTTGTGCCCCTCTAATATAAAGGTGCTTACTTTATGTGTGTTGGGGTTTTTTGTTTGCTTCTTGCAATTCATTGGTTTGGTGTATGAAAGTATGGCAACTATGATTAGGCAATTTATAGAGCTGCCAAAGCATCTCTTGCACTAAATTTGCTGGCTGAAGCACAAGACCATTGCCGAAAGGGTCTTCAGTTGGACCCCAATAATGAGGAATTGAAGAAGCTTGAGAAGTAGACTGGTATGAAGATATCAGAGAATGAGAAGCATGAAGCTGAAGTCTCTAAGGTTGTTGGAGAGACAAAGGTATAAACTTTGAACTGTTTTATTATGTGCTTGATGTCTTAATAGTTGGTTTTGAAAATTATCGAGAAGTAAATATTTTAAACTTTGGCTTGAAATAGCTTCTATACTTTCTATTACAGCAAGTAGTTTATGATGAAAACTGAATTAAAGATTCAATTTTCTGTGATGTCTTTCAATCCAGAACTCTTACATCGTCGGAATCACTTTTGCCGCCGGCATTGGTGGTCTTCTCCTCGGCTATGATACTGGTACCTAACCATCATTTCAATTTCTCTAATTTGAGATGCCATTAATTTGTGTGCAGGAGTTTTCACCCATTGATAGTTTGATAGTTTTCACCCCTATTGTTTCTATGTTTACTAGTATGGTTGGTGGTGTACAATTGATACTAATTATCATGCACACCTTAAATAAATAAATAAATGATTGTCGGATTGCCCCAAATATATAGCCAACGGACAGTGTAATGAGTCATTAATATGGTATTAATGGTCTCTGTTATGCTTAGTTCAAGGTAAAAAAATAAAATCACACCTCAAACTCAATTCAAAGCCACAAGGTTTAACTTAAAAGAATTAGTGTCTAATCAAAATCCCTGCCCAAACCTTCCCCACATTATTCTATTAAAATCCTCCTTTTTCACTTTTTTATTTTATCTAATTATTAAAGTGAGATACAAATAACATCCAAATCTTCACGGGTCAACTTCTCTTTCTTTCATCTGCTCAGTCGGAAAACTACTCTCTTACATTTTGTTTGTGGTCTATCAGTCTATGTGATCATGTCTACTATTATTTCCGATTAGTCTGCCTTTACTGTATTGCCATTTTAAATTGAGTATCCTTGCATGGTAATTGCTGGCCTTGTAGTCAGAGATTGATAATTTGGATATTTTTCTTTTTTCCAGTTTGATGTAGTTTGATTTCTTTAATACAATTATACTCCTAACAATATTGGAAGGGAGGATAAAAGAGATTTTTGTTTCATTTCAGTTGTTTCATATCACCAGCTTGGAAGTTGTTGACTTTCTGGATAAATTCTTGGCTACGAATCCTGATCCCAGGTTCTATTATCACATTCTTGTAACTAACTTGGAAAACCTTACAGGGGAAACAAAATTATAAGTTAATTGATATTTATTTTTGTTATGAATGGTACATACTAGACCTTGATGACAATCAATGTTGACTTTCTGTTTCAGTTGACTGTCTTATTCATAATGGAATCACCTTGTTTATGGGAAATGACTGTTGAAGTTCTACTACCATATGTCAACTCGAACCAAATATTAATTTCTAGCTATGTGCATTACATGAATAGTTTGGCCAAAGGAGATGAATCGCTTGAAAGTGATCCAAAGCATAGCACCCTGAACTTTTCCACCAAAGGAGAGCCTAAACGTCCCAGAAGAAGAAAATAAATGTGTTCAAGCATAAAATAGAAGAAACCAAATAATACTATTTTATTTTATTTTTATTTT